GATTCCAAATCATTGCTTTGTCAAGCACTTTTATTTTTGAAAGAATTTTCGTTAACGTATTAGAAATCTAAATAAATGCACAGACAAACCCTGACTGCTCTTCTGAGGAAAATTCCAAATAAGGGAATGTAACTGATCAGAAACAGGAGAAGGACAGGGCACAGTCACAGTCATTCATTCAGTAAATCTCTCTCTCTCTCTCTCTCTCTCTCTCTCTCTCTTTATTCCTGTATGAGATGGAGTTTCGCTCCTGTTGCCCAGGCTGGAGTGCAACAGTGCAATCTCAGCTCACTGCAACCTCTGCCCCCTGGGTTCAAGCAATTGTCCTTCCTCAGCCTCCTGAGTAGCTGGGATTACAGGCACATGCCACCACACCCAGCTAATTGTTTGTATTTTAGTAGAGATGAGGTTTCACCATGTTGGCCAGGCTGGTCTCCAACTCCTGGCCTCAGGTGATCTGCCTGCCTTGGCCTCCCAAAGTGCTAGGATTGCAGGTGTGAGTCACCATGCCCAGCCCAGTAAATCTCTCTTAAGCATCTATTGTGTGCAGGTGCTGCCAGATACTCAGATACAGCAGTGAACAAGCTGGACACACTTCTAGGACGAACAGAGCTCACAATTCAACTTTTTGTGATGTGATAGTGTGCTCACACTGTGCATGATTTCTTTCTCTCTTCCACCCCTTCTAGGCTGGGAACTGCTTGAGGGCAGGGTCCAAGCCTTGTTCATCTCTGACCCCCCGTGTTATATAGTGAGCGCCTGGGTCACTTATTAGCATGGTCTCAAGATACATGTGCTGAACTGCTAAGCCAATTCATTTACTTTACAAATGAAAAATATGAGATAGACAGAAGCTTAAGAACATAGGCACTGTACCCAGAAAGATGGTAGTGGTGTTGGAATGAGAATCCAGCATCTTGTGTCCTAGTTAAGGTCCTTTTCCCTTAGTATGCTGCCTCTGGCTGTGGTAAATTCCAGAATATAATTTGTAAATGTTCCTATCCACTGTCCCATCCCACTTCCTACAGTGACATGCAAAATAAAGTGGCTGGTTAGAGTCTGACCTCACATTTCTGTTTGAATCTTTTCCACTATGGATTTTAAAAGGATCTGAAAGGGTATTTTCTAAAATTCTAAGCATTCTGTCCATCCTCATGCTGAAACCTGACTTGGTGAGTGACACTTCAAAAAGAAAAGAAACATGAGTCTCAACCCATTACTACTTTATTTCCTCCAGATCATTTCCTCACAGGCAGGTCAGCCACGTCAGTAAGCCCATTCGGATGTCTTGGTTTCTACCCCTTGGAAGCTTCTTCTCTACATTCCATTTCGAGAGAGCTGGCTCTTCCCGGAGACTTCACAACCTGGTACCGTCTCCTCCCACAATCACCCTCCCATTCTTCTGGCTTATCTCTGGTGTCAGAGAAGAATGTAATCTTTAGGCTTGTACATTCTGACTCCTGTATTTTGAGGAAAACCTCTCAGCGTAGCTGACTGGCATCTGGAGGGCAGGGCAGGGCAGGGGCAGCTGGCCGAGCAGTCACCTGTCACCTGGGTCAGCCCTCATCACCCCATTGCAGGCTGCAAGAGTTGTAAAGAGAGCTGGACAGGACCCACTTAGAAGATACCAATTCTGGGTCTCTGGGGCAGTCTGTGTTGGGAGTATTTATTCCTGGAGTACTGGGGGTAAGATGGGAACAGCTGGAGTCAGAGCCCTTGAAACTACTCAGTGGCTTGATGCTTACCAGGTGTGTTTACTTAGCCATCCCTTCAGGGAAAGACTCACATTGCTAATATCAGGGCAGGTGAGACCTGGTCAGCTGTGCAAATAAGCCCAGAGCCAGAGTGGAACAGTGAGAATTAGATCACCCTTCCTTTTCACCGGGTGATTAGGAACTCAACACTGTGTGACCTCAGACAAGCCAATTTCCCCCTCTGGGGCTCATTTTCTCCTGAAATGGACAAGGAGGGAAGGGACCAGACAAGTTCTAAAGTTCCTTCTAAGGCCAAAGATCCATGACTCTGATTTTTATCTAAAACCATAAAAGTGTGGCCAAGTATATAATTACTGGCTCTTTCCCGCCCTCCCCCCACCCCCAGCCCCGGCTGCTGTAGGTTTACTGTCAGTCTAACCTTGTAATCTTCTTCCAAGAGATTTTTTTTCTCTCAAAGATCCTAACAGTGTAGGGAATCTGAATTGGAAGGTTTTCTGGGACTCAATTTTCTTCCTCCACTTCTGCTCACTCCTCCGTCTCAACTCTCACCTTAGTCCTTCTCAATGCTGGGATGCTGGAGGACTTGAGCTGCGAATTTCAGGAACTTGAATTTGATTTTTACTGTTTTGAGTCCTGCCCCATCCACTCCTGGGCGCTGTGGAGAACACCATGATTCTCCATGTACACTGTCGTGCCTTTTCCCATTCATTGGTCAGAACATTTCACCTGTGTGCCAGACGCCACCCCAGGCACCAGGGCTAGGAAATAAATCATGTGACCCAGTTATCAGGAAGTTGAGTCCTAAATTACAGAAGAGCCACATCACTCTGCTTGATGGCAGGTAGCCAGTGTTCCCTAGGAAAAAACACCAAGGCAGGCACTTAATTTGCTTGGGGGCATCCGCTTGGGTGAAATCTTGAAGGGTGCTCTAGCAGGTGCTGTCAGTGCCCTGCCTGTCCCCTTAGCCCTCCGTGGAGTTGCTTGATCTGTGTGCCAGGAAGTTAAAGCCACAGGAAGATCCCTCCAACCAACAAAAAGCAGAAGCTGGCAGAAAGATATCCCCTCTTCTTGCCACTTGATGGAACAATCCTAAGGTATGCGCTACACAGTCTCGCAGAGGCCCCCAGCAAGATGGAGCCCCAGCAGTCCACAGCAGTCTCTGCTCATCAACACATCATCAGCACCTTTCCTTCCCTGTCTCACGTCCTTATTCCATCTCCGTACTCCTTGAGATGGGCTCCCAAATAAATTACCTGCATGGCACCCGGGTCTGTATCTTAGGGTCTCCTTTCAAGGGGACCCACACTAGTAATCAAATAAATTAGCTGAAATGGAGACTAAGGCAATCTAGGGGGGCATCCAGGCAGAGGAACAGCTACAGTAAAGCCAGGGAGGGCAAGCATGGCACGGCACTTGGTGCGGCAATTGAAGGATGCATATTTGTTGGTTCACAGGATTGTGATGCAAGACCTTAGCATTCTTCTCTGGAGAGGACAAACACTTTAGTCCTCTTGTCCTGACCTCCAAGAAGTGCTAGAAGAGGAGAAAAGGCTGGAAAAGAGGGCTGAGCTTCCCTGAGAGGTGCCTGGTGGGCCCTACCCAGTCATACTCCTCAGTCTTGGGTCCACAGTGACCCAAGAAGTCAGCTCTGTGTATTTTGAGAATGAGCTGCTCAACTATGGAAGGAAATTTCCCAGTGTCTTGGCTTCTCACACAATTTGGGTCTAAGTATTTGGAAAAGATTCTCTTGTGCTTAAGGGCATATTATAGTATCAGATGCTGAGGTCTATGGACGGCAATATAAGACAGTGGGTTGGCTGGACACGGTGGTTCATGCCTGTAATCCCAGCACTTCGGGAGGCCAAGGTGGGTGAATCACTTGAGGCCAGGAGTTCAAGATCAGCCTGGTCAACATGGTGAACTCCTGTCCCTACTAAAAATACCCCCCAAAAATTAGGCAGGCATGATGACGCATGCCTGCAATCCCAGCTACTTGGGAGGCTGAGGCATGAGAATCGGTTGAACCTGGGAGGTGGAGGTTGCAGTGAGCCACGACTGTGCGACTGCACTCCAGCCTGGGTGACAGAGGGAGACTGTCTCAAAAAAAAAAAAAAAGACAGTGGTTCAATCACATAGCTCACTCCATATGTTCTCCAGAATCTAGAGCACAAAAACCTTTGCGAGCCTCAGTTTCTTCACCTGTAATATAAGTATAATAGTAAGTACCTGGGGAGGATTAGATGAGACCATGCATATGGCATTAGGCTCTGACTACAGTAAGTGCTCAATTTTTAAAAAGGGGATGATGATGCACACAGAGGGTACTACCCACTGAGGCAAGGTCAACCCTCCGTCCCAGAAAGACCGATAAGCAAACCCTGGCATGCAGGCTCTGTCATCAGCCTCCCCAGCTCAGAAGCTGAACGGGGCAGCCTGCCAAGGATGGGTGTGCTAGGGTTGGGTACAACCAGGGCAACAGGGCAGTCCAGAGGGCCAACCTCAGGTCAGCCTGGCCAGGCCAGGCCCTTGCCACCACTGGCAAACTGGCCAGCAAGCAGCAGTGGCAAGAAGTTGGCTCAGAGGGCCTGGGCCACACAGGATGGGCCACTCCAGGCAACCACAGGATGATGCCTTCAGGGGGATTCCTCAGCCAGGGCCACTCCAGAACCCTCGCCTATTGGTACACAGAGGAGTAGCACCCCGACGTGGCTCCCCAAGGTCCTGTTTCATAGGCCTCCGTGGTGAACCAGCTTCCTTCCTCCTCAGGGTCTCTGTTCAATCCAGGCATGTTTCCATGGATTAGGCTCCCTCTCATCTGGGAAAGCCCTGCATGGACTCCCCAAACCCCTGCTGGCCTCAGCGTGGTCAATCGCCTTACATGGGTGGACCTGGCTGGTTTAACTCTGAGGGAAACATGATGTTCTAATTCTTTTTGTTTGTTTGTTTGTTGGATAGAAACAAGGTCTTGCTATGTCGCCCTGACCTGTCTTGAACTCCTGCCTTCCTGGCTCAGTCTCCCAACATGCTGGGATTACAGGCGTAAGCCGCCATGCCTAGCTTAATGTTTTAATTCTTGGGCATGGAGCTCTCCATGCAAAGGCAAAGAGGAAGCAGGCCGCCCACTGGTCTGCATGCTGACTCCACCTCTAAGTTGAACCCACTTCTTCCTGACTTCTTCCCACCTGGCCTCCTGTGTCTCCATGGCATGTATTTCTACCTCTGGGGCCTGGGCCCAGGCTCCCTGGGAGGTGACTGCATGAGCCTCAGGCTGGGGAGCACAGAGCGGCCTCTGCCTGCCCTGCGGAGGAGCAATGCTTCTGAGCAGCAGGGTCCTAGCTGGCACTGAGACCGAAGGATCTTCTTCAGGCTGTGGGTGGAGAAGGCCTCAATGGAGATCCTCAGGAACTTCCAATTAACCAATCAACCCTAATAGGCAAGTTTCTGAGGTATCCTGGAGTTCCTCAGGGCTGTCCAGATAAGGACTGACAGGAGGGAAAATAGTAAAGTTCTGGTCTCAGTGTCTGTCACACAAAGCTGCGGCTCATAAACCCTGATGAACTCTCAGACCCGGCTAGGGGGGATTGGGGGAGGATGCAGATGGAAGGCCCTCAGAGGAAATGACCAGGCTCTGCCTTGGGACTTTGGGGGAGAGAAGTGCTGTCTGCTCTAAACAAAAGCGCTCTAAACAAAGCTCACTCAAGCATCACATCTTCGGGAGACCTGGAGCTGGTAATCAGGACCCAACCTCCCAGGCATGGAGCGGGAATGTTCTTCCTGCGTTTCCGCCCTCTGTTTATTCTCACTCCTTGTGAGAGACAAACGTCCACACTGTCACTGAGCGGGGTCCCAGAGCCACCAAACAGACTGTCTGCAGGGCTTCTTGGGTCTGGTTTGAGCCTGCTCGTGCCCCAGACCCTTCTGAGGATCCTCTCTCCTGTCACTTTTTCCTGGAAATCCCTGCAAGCTTCCTCTAGACTCGGATGCCTTCCCTCTGGGAGAAGTGGCTTGCTCCGCTCGCTGGCTCACCATTTAGCCTCCAGCCATCCCAGGAAATGGGAGCCACCAGCAGGAAGGATCAAATTCCTGAAAGGTGACAGCACTGCTCTGCCTCACTGCACTCCACTAGCCCTCATCGCTGACTCCTTTCATTTCTCCAGCCTGGGAAAGGTGGTGTTCGGAGAGGTGAAGATGGGGAGGGCTAGGGGGAGGTGCCAGGCCTGGAAAGGGGCAGGCGCGGGCCCTAGCGGGAGAGGAGGGAGCTGAGCAATGAGGGTGTTGGCTAAAAACAACAGTGTCTTGATGGGAAAGGAGGAGCGATGGGGAAGACTGGAGTGTCTCAGGCCCTCTCAGTGGATGGGTGTTGTGGGAGAGAGGAGGCTGGGAGACAGGTCTCCCTCTGGAGTTCAGCGCTGAGTTGCTGTCCAAATCAGTGGTCCTTGGAATCTATAAAACAAAACTGAGGACTTCAGAGGTGCATCCAGAGGAGCCACACTCCAAAGGGACCACTTCCAGGTAAGCATGACACACTGCTGGATGCACACGCTCCTGGCTTCAGGTTCCAGGATCTTTCTCACTGCCTTCATCCCCAGCTAGCAATAGGGAGACCCTTCCCCGGGCCCCTGCGTGGTGGCTGGGAGATCTACTGGTCATCACAGAGAGCTGGGAAAGGAATACACATCTGCAGTCATGAGGGATATCGAGCAGTGACCTCATGGCCAGGGCCTGGTTAACAGTATCTTTGCCACTCCCAAGCTAGCCCATGGCCGCTGGATCTTCCTCCGCTTGATCTCCTAGCTGACCTGTGCAACCCTAAGTACTCCAGAAATTCCACAACTAGCAGCTGTCAGCCATCCGTCCTGGGCAGGGCTAATACTGGGGGCTCTGGTTTTGTTGGAACCCACATGGGACCAGGAAATGTTCGACTCCAGGGTTCACAGGGCTTTGTTCTTCTGCTGAAGGCAACCCCGGGCACGCCCCCAGGAAACGGACTCCAGGACTTATTTTAGGCAAACTAGGATTCCCCTGTGGCTGGGCAGGTCTAACGGGGAAAAGCGGGGTAACCGAGAGTCGTGGAACTGACAAAATCTTCCTAGAGTACATGTTTCTATCCCAGCAGAGGTTCTTCCTAACTGAGGGCATTCACGTGTATGGAGCAGTGACTGTTTACCTGGGGAGAGTTTGCAGCAATAGAGGGGACATCCCTTTCCTGTAGAAGCTCACAGGATGGGGGTACAAAAACGGAGGGAGTTATTGAGAGATTCAGGCCCAGACTGGACAGATGAGGAAGGCGTCCCTCTCACAAGAAGAGGGAAAGGCATCTCTGAGGGGAGGAAGAACAGGGGTACCACGGTGCTCCTGGGGGAGACGATAGGGCAAAAGCAGACAGGGGCGAGGTCACTGCACACCAGGCGACTCTGGGAACGTCTCCCTGCCCTTCAGGGAACATCCAGGGCCTGTGCGTCTCCTCAGAGCCCTGCAGGTGGGTTTGGGACGCGCATCTGCCCCTTTGTTCGGAGGTTCCTGTGGATTTGATGGGCGTCCTGCTGTTCTCTCTCCAGACACCATGCGGCAAACCCTGCTGCTGCTGCTGCTGATGGTGCTGCGCCCCAGCTGGGCAGATCTTCTCCAGAGGGTCCCGCTCTTCCGGGTCACTCAGCAGGGCCCCTGGGGGAGCAGTGGCAGCAACGCCACCGACTCGCCCTGCGAGGGGCTGCCCGCCGCGGGTGCGACGGCCTTGACCCTGGCGAACCGCAACCTGGAGCGCCTGCCCGGCTGCCTACCGCGCACACTGCGCAGCCTCAACGCCAGCCACAACCTGCTGCGCGCACTGAGCACATCCGAACTTGGCCACCTGGAGCAGCTGCAGGTGCTGACCCTGAGCCACAACCGCATCGCCGAGCTGCGCTGGGGCCCGGGCGGGCCGGCGGGGCTGCACACCCTGGACCTCAACTACAACCAGCTGGCTGCTCTGACGCCATGTGCCGGTCCCGCACTGAGCAGCCTCCGCGTCCTGGCGCTCGCCGGGAATCCGCTGCAGGCGCTACAGCCCCGGGCCTTCGCCTGCTTCCCCGCGCTGCAGCTCCTCAACCTCTCCTGCACCGCGCTGGGTCGCGGCGCACAGGGGGGCATCGCCGAGGCGGCGTTCGCTGGAGAGGATGGCGCGCCCCTGGCCACGCTCGAAGTCCTGGATCTCAGTGGCACGTTCCTCGAGCGGGGTGAGTCCGGGCGCCCCGCGTTTTCAGCAGACCTGAGCGCAAAGCCAGGCTGCGCGTGTGCTCCTGAGGGCAGGGCTGCATTCTTCCTCGAGGGGTGACCCAGGTGCCCAGCTCGCAGCAGGGTTCAAAAAAACACCAGCTACATTTTTCGAGCAAGCGGGCCCAGTTTGAAGCGCCACACAGGAGTCACTTTCTTGAATCCTAAGAGATGGGAACTGTTACCATCTCCGTTTTACATATGAAGGAACCAAAGCACAGAAAGGTGAAACTTGGTCACACATTAAGCAAATCTGAACTGAGGCATTCTGGGTCCAGAGCCCAAAACTTTAACCACTCTGTTCTACTGCTTCCCAGCATGACTGGATAAGTGTTTGTGGAATGGGGAAGTGAGTGCATGCTTTGGGGCTGATGAATGGAAAAACTGAGCCGCAAACATGCAGTTAGCTGAAGTGACTGAGGCTTCCAAGATGAATTCACTGATTTCTCTACCTGGTTGGGCAAAATAGTTTCTGTGAATGTTGAATCACTCAAACAAGCCACAGGAGAGTGGCGAGGATAACCGGTCTCCTGTTCCTGGTGTTCTTTGATTCACAAGGTTGGTTTTACTATTTTTTAAAAAACACTTCATGTGTCTACAACCACCTGTTTCATCAAAGACAAAGAGGAAAAACAGCTAGAATGGGGAATACCGAAGGGAAGGGGCACGTTCTCCATGTATCGGGAGAGCCACAAAATTAGGTTTCTGGGGCCGCCTCGCCTCCTTAATTACATTCCACGGAAGTTCCCCACGCTTGACAGACATCAGAGCAAAGTCTGGTTATTTTTCTGTGTGGCTTTAATGAGAAGGTGGACAGGCCAGCAGGACATTGGAAGACAGTGGTCCTGGGTTCAGCCTTGTCTCTGCCCCTTTCCAGCTATGTGGCGCTTAGGCCAATCAGTCCCCTCGCTCGCTGGCCTTTGGCCGACTCAGATTGGAAGAAGGAAGGACTGGTCTGATCCTGAGCACCCTCTTCCAGCTGAAGATGACCACATTCTGAGATTCCCGCCCCAGAATTCCTCCCCGGCATGCGCGGCGTGCTCGCGCTCGCTCGCCCTCGCTGCAGCAATGACCTTGCACATTCACCCATTGGCCACTCTTCGTTCTTTCCTTCTGCCGTGCCTGAGCCCTCCCTGGGGTTTGCGCGTCTCTGAGTGGTCGGGCCCACGTTCGCTCGCTCCTCTCGCTGCCTCTTCCCGCGTTACGCTCAGCGGCCCGTTCGCATAGCCTGGCAAGGCTGCACATGCCGGCTGACACCACGCCCTGAGGCCACCGCTGCCTCGCCGCCTCCGCCGACCCCTGCGAGGAGAGCATTTTCAGATGCAATCCCCACACTGCGCAGCCCCTCCGCGACTGTCAGGCACTCCAGAGCACTTGGCCGTCCCTCGTCCGCGCGCCCCACATCTTTCAAGACACTGCCACATCTACGGTTCCTTCTGTTCCCGACGAGTAGTGCTCTCTGAGGCAATCTTCATCACTCGATGGATGTCTGTTACCCCACTTCCGCCCTATTTGAATTTCTCTAGAACCACAGCCCATAATTCTATTCTTCCCTCCCCGCTCTTCACGCCGCTCTCCTTCTCGGCGCGCTTTGCTCCTCTCCCTCGCACCGCCGACCCGCCCCTTCCGTGGGTGACTATCTCTCGGGTACCATCCCCCGGCGTCCCCGCTACCCGGTCACCCGCCACCCCTGCCCGCTAACTTCTCGCAACTCCGTCCGTGGCAGAGCTACGTATTAGAATGCCAAACTCCTATGCCTTTAAAGTTTATTTTAAGCCCACACTTAGAAATGTACAGTGGGAAGAGGTGAGGAGGACCTCAGGTCTACTCTCTGTCTGGATCTGCTTTCTTCCCCACATGTCATGCAAGTTCAGTCCCTTCCAGAATTTGAGTGGGTCTGGGGATGAAAGTATTGATATTGTTAGAAAATCCCTTGGAAGTCTAGGGGCAGGCCCTGTGAGTCCTGTTTTACTCAATGCAGTCACTAAAGATGGAATTATTCTTCTAAAAGGATGAACAACTTTTCAAAGCAAAGGCAGAACCATTCACTCATTCTTTCCTTTATTCAATAAATAGCTATTGAGCACACAATGTTGTGAGGGGAAATGCTTTGTATCTCTGGCTCAGACTCCTTTGAGCTCGATAAAAACCCAAGAACTGTGTAAAGTGCCAGGATACAAATATCAAGTAGTTTCTTTATCTGTAAAATAGAGCTATGACAATAAAACCTCGCTTTGGGGTTTTTCATGAGAAAAAAGCATATGGTTTATGTAGACCACTTAGCTCAGTGCCTGGCTTATGGTATTTGTCCTCTAAAATTAGTGAAGATGATGGTGGTGGTGATAATGGAGATGCTGATGGTGATGACAGTGGTGGTGATGGTGTTGATGCTGATTGATGTCAGTGATGGGGATGACCTTGGTAGTGATGGTGATGGTGATGATGATGGGTGATGGTGCTAATTATAATGGTGAGGATAGTGATGATTGTATGATAAAATAGTGGTGGTGAGGCCAGGCATGATGGCTCATGCCTGTAACCCCAGCACATTGGGAGGCCGAGGCGGGTGGATCACCTGAGGTCAGGAGTTCGAGACCAGCCTGGCCAACATGGTGAAACCCCATCTCTACTAAAAGAAATACAAAATTAGCCGGACATGGTGGCACGTGCCTGTAAGTCCCAGCTACTTGGAAGGCTGAGGCAGGATAATCGCTTGAACCTGGGAAGTGGAGGTTGCAGTGAGCTGAGATTGCACCATTGCACTCCAGCCTGGGCTTGGCCTTGTGATTTGCTTGGGCCAGTGGGTCATTAGTAAATGTGATGTAAGAAGCTTGGAAAGCAATTGAGCACTGAGATCCGCCCTCTCCTGCTGTTGGGGATCCCTCCACTACCGTGTGGATAAGCCCAGGTTAGCCTCCTGGGTGACGACAGACACACAGAGAGCAGTCCCAGCACACCTGGTTGAGCCTTATCCATGAGGCCATCCTAGATCATCTGGCCCCAGCTGAGCTAATCCAGACCACATGAACCACTGAGCTAACCCACAGAATCATGCTAAAGAATAAATATTTATTGTTTTAAGTTACTAAGTTTGGGGGTTATTCTCTACTTATCAAGAGTTCACTGATGCACTTAAATGAGGCATCTTCCAAAGGACTGGCGTTGAGTGTCACCAGCCATAGTGCAATAACACTGGTCCATAATAACAATATCTGCTTGTATTTAGAGATTTGCATTTACAAACACTTTTATCATCATGTACTCTTTTTTGTTTCTGTTTGTTTGTTTTGTTTTCTTTTTTGAGACAGGGTCTCACTCTCCTGCCTATCCTGGAGGGTAGTGGTGTGATCTTGGCTCACCGCAACCTCTGCCTCCCAGGCTCAAGTGATTCTCCTGCCTCAGCCTCCCGAGTAGCTGGGATTATAGGTCCACCACTACTGCCCGACTAATTTTTGTATTTGTAGTACAGACAGAGTTTCACCATGTTGGCCAGGCTGGTCTCGAACTCCTAACCTCAAATAATCCACCTGCCTCGGCCTCCCGAAGTGCTAGGATTACAGGTGTGAGCCACCGTGCCCAGCCAACACACACTCTTTTTGATACAACCATCGGTCATGGGAATATTGTCCCCAGTTGATATGAAGTATAATATTTCCTGTTAGGCTGGTATCTCCGTTTTACAACAGAGGACAAAAAATGAAGTTCGAGGTCATTAAGAGTTTTGCCCAAAGCAATATTCTCCAACCCCTATCAGAATGCTTCTGATACCGTGGGCATGGTTCTGACACCATGCCTCTCTGGGAATATCTTTGATCCAATTGTAAAAACCTGACTTAATTCATTTTTTGTGTGTATTTCAGCTGCAACTTGAGTTCCTTCCCTCCTTGGACCCTGGATTCCTCCCAGGTCCTATCGATCAACCTTTTTGGCAACCCCCTCACTTGTAGCTGTGACTTGTCTTGGCTCCTCATGGATGCAAAGAGAACTGTCCTAAGCAGGTAACACATTTACAAAGCAGATGGCTGAGGGGTGAGGCTCAGCCTTCAGGAGCTGAAGTTCTCCAGCTTAAATCTTGCTCACGTGACTGTGCTTGGCACTTTGGCCATGTTGGGCTGGGCAGCCTTCCCCATGTAGTCACACTCAGGGATCCAGGTGATGGAAGCTACCTCCATTCCAGCCAGCCAGAAGGGGCAAAGAACATGGAGGAGCAGACATGGGAGGTTTTTAGTGAGCCAGGCTGGGAGGTGATACTCCTCACTTCCACTCACATTCATTGGCCAGGAGTCACACCTACCTGCAAGGGAGGCTGGGAAGTGTGGTCTGGTTTAACCACTGGGTTCTACTGAATCCGCAAGATGGAACCTGGCCTCCTGCTCCCGGGTTATCCAGTCCTAGGCCCATGGGCTTACAGAGCTCTTCTGGGAAATTCCTATGAAGGCTATTGGCTAGAAGAGCTGTTTTTGCAGTGGGGAGTCACATTTAGGCTGGCCACCAGGAGACAGTGGGAGCTGGGGGGCTGGGAACACCCCCAGTCCTGAGCACTTTCAAACCAGTTCCATCAGGTAAACACTACACCTTGGGAGGCAACCCTCCATCACCACCATTCTGCAGAATTATTTCTGTTTGTTTGGAGACAGGGTCTTGCTCTTTTGTCCAGGCTGGAGTGCAGTAGTGCGATCATGTCTCATTACAGCCTCAACCTCCTGGGCTCAGCGATCATCCTACCTCAGCTTCTAGAGTAGCTGGGACCCCAGGTGCAAGCCACCACACCAGGCTAATTTTTTAAATCTTTTTGTAGAGATGGAGTCTCATCATGTTACCCAGGCTGGTCTCAAACTCCCAGACTCAAGGGATCCTCCCATCTGGGCCTCCCAAAGAGTTGGGATTCCAGGCATGAACCACCATGCCCAGCCAATATTCTTTTCTCATCTCCCACCTAAGCTGAGCTGTGAAGTGGGGCTCAGTCTGCCCCCCAACCCCACATTCCCTCCAAAGAAAAGCACCTAGGCCCTTTGCAGTCGAGGGTCTCATCACGGTATTAATGATGAAGCTGAGAGTACAGGCTCTGAAGCCAGAGAGTCCAGTTTCATCCTACTTACTACTATTTTATTACTTTTTTTTTTAGAGACAAGGTCTTGCTCTGTAACCCAAGCTGGAGTGCAGTGGCATGATCACGGCTCACTGCAGCCTCAGACTCCTGGGCTCAAGCAATCCTCCTGCCTCACCCTCCCAAGTAGCTGGGACCACAGCCATGCACCACCATACCTGGCTAAGTTTTTGTTTGTTTGTTTTGTTTTGTTTGTTTTGGTAGAGACGAGGTCTCACTATGTTGACCAGGCTGGTCTCCAACTCCTAGCCTCAAGTAATCCTCCTACCTGGGCCTCCCAAAGTGTTGGGACTCCAGGCATGAGCCACTGTACCTGGCCTACTTACTACTGTTGATTTGAGCTGGGTTATTTCATCTCTCTGAGTTACTTTGGCCTCTACCTTCTCATCTGTAAAATGGGGTAATAGAGTCTACCGCATAAGTAGTGCAGACTAAATTAGTTGACACAGTAGAGTGTGAAGAATAGCCCCTAGCACGTGGGAAGCATCAGAAATGGTAGCTAGTATGAGTACTTTTTTTTTTTTTTTTGAGACAGTCTCCCTCTGTTGCCAAGGCTGGAGTGCAGTGGCACAATCTCTGCTCACTGCAACCTCCGCCTGCCAGGTTCAAGCGATTCTCCTGCCTCAGCCTCCAGAGTAGCTGGGACTACAGACATCCGCCACCATGCCCAGCTAATTTTTGTATTTTTAGTAGAGACAGGGTTTCACCTTGTTAGCCAGGATGGTCTCGATCTCCTGACCTTGTGATCCGCCCACCTCAGCCTCCCAAAGTGCTGAGATTACAAGCCTGAGCCACCACGCCAGGCCTGAATGTTTTTGTTGTTGTTGTTGTTGTTGTTGTTGTTGTAGACGGAGTCTCGCTCTGTCACCCAGGCTGGAGTGCAGTGGTGTGATCTTGGCTCACTGCAAGCTCTGCCTCCCGGGTTCACGCCATTCTCCTGCCTCAGCCTCCTGAGTAGCTGGGACTACAGGTGCCTGCCACCACGCTTGGCTAATTTTTTGTATTTTTAGTAGAGATGGGTTTCACTATGTTAGCCAGGATAGTCTCGGTCTCCTGACCTCGTGATCCGCCTGCCTCTGCCTCCCAAAGTGCTGGGATTACAGGTGTGAGCCACTGCGCCCGGCCTACTATGGTTTTTATTACTAGTGCTCTCTTGCCAGGAAGCAGACAGGTGAGAACAAAATGGCAAATGATAGTCAGAGAATCTGGACTCCTTCTCACAGTGCTTGCCCGGGGATAGGCTCTGCCATTGCTAGCTATGGTGTCTTGGCCAATTAGTTCCTCCTTCTAAACTTCCGTTTGCTTCTCTGCCCAGTGGGAGTGAGGACAGGAGCTTCCTCCAAAGTTTCCCCAGAATCAATTAGGTGATGTGTGCGGCGTGTGTGCCCTGGGGTGCCTGGCAGAGATGCGTTGATGGGCTTGGCAGGGGGTGACGTTGGCAGTGAGGATTCAAAGCTCTGCCCAGAAGCGTCCCTGAAGCCAGACGTCTTCTAACTGGTTGGCCTCCCCTCCAGGGCAGCAGACACTGTGTGCAGGCCAGCTGCGGGATCCAGCGGCCCCTTCTCAGCCTCCCTGTCACTCTCCCAGCTGCCCGGAGTGTGCCAGTCCGACCAAAGCACTACTCTCCGAGCTTCACACCCACCCGGCTTCAACCACTCCACCTACCCACAGGGTCCCACCGTGGCGCCCAGCGCATCCCCTGCCACCCAGCCTGCGGGAGACCAGCAGAGTGTCTCCAAGGCCCCTAACGTGGGCTCCCGCACGACAGCTGCATGGCCGCACAGCGATGCACAGGAGGGGACTGCCTCTTCCACGACCAACTCTGTAGCAGGTCACAGCAACTCCAGCGTTTTCCCCAGGGCTGCCAGCGCCACCGCATCCCAGCACAGAGGAGAACATGCCCCCGGGCTTGTCGTTGAGCCTAGTATCTCAGCTGCCTCCACCCCACTGGAGAGCAAGCTCCTGGACCCCTTCCCTACCTCGTGGACCCCCATAAGCTCGCCTCAGCCCGGCCAGAGGACACACGCCACACCCCAAGCCCCCAACCCGAGTCCTTCTGAGGGCGGGATTCCAGTCTTGCTGCTAGACGACTACAGTGAGGAGGAGGAGGGGAGGAAGGAGGAGGTGGGAATGCCTCACCAGGATGTCCCCTGTGATTACCATCCCTGCAAGCACCTACAGACCCCGTGCGCTGAGCTGCAGAGGCAGTCGCGGTGCCGTTGCCCCGGCCTCAGCGGAGAAGACACCATCCCAGACCCGCCCAGGCTGCAGGGGGTGACGGAGACAACGGACACGTCGGCGCTGGTCCACTGGTGTGCCCCCAACTCGGTAGTGCACGGGTACCAGATCCGCTACTCTGCGGAGGGCTGGGCGGGGAACCAGTCGGTGGTGGGGGTCATCTACCCCACGGCCCGGCAGCACCCTCTGTACGGGCTGTCGCCAGGCACCACCTACCGCGTGTGCGTGCTGGCGGCCAACAGGGCAGGCCTGAGCCAGCCGCGGTCCTCGGGCTGGAGGAGCCCGTGTGCCGCCTTCACCACCAAGCCCAGCTTTGCGCTCCTGCTCTCTGGGATGTGCGCAGCCAGCGGCCTGCTGCTTGCCAGCACCTTAGTGCTGTCCGCGTGTCTCTGCAGGCGGGGCCAGACGCTACGCCTGCAGCGCTGCGACACGCACCTAGTGGCCTGCAAAAACCCGGCCTTTGATTACCCGCTGGAGCTCCAGACCGTCAGTTAGCCCAGCTTCTGGGCAAACGCCTCTAACCGAACTGGATCTGAGCGCAGAAAGGTACAGAAGGTCAAAAACGACCCCATCCGCTCCTAGGGTTTCTAATTCCCGTGAAGCCAGAATGCCCTGGGCACACATGGAACTTGCCACACTGAGTGTCTCAGTCCAAGGAACAACTGCCCTCCCTTCCTTCTACTTTATTCTCTGTTCCCAGAAACCTGATGGTCAATGCCAGATCGCTCCCCACTGCCGCCAGGCCTTCTTGTGTGTTGTTTCGTTTGGGGTTTTCAGCAGTCAGTGCCCTTCTATCCAGTAGAATAGTGTATGGAAGTTGGAAGGGATGAAACAGGGAAATTGCATAACCCAGCCTCTTTGATCGTTAGAAATCATCTCCTCAGGTCTTTCCAGCGGAAGCTCCTTCATGGTCAAGCTCTAAGGCATAATGAGCTCTGTTATTCAAGAAATCAATTCCAGTGGATTTCCAGTTCCAATTCCTGAGAACCGGGGTTAGGGGGAGAGCTAATTAATGGTTGCTTCGTAAGGCCTTCTGGGTTTATTAGTTCCATTTCAGGACATGACAAGAAAATACACTTCCAGCTTTACAGTTAAAACCAGTTTTCTGGGAACATTTGTCAAACACAGGGAAAAGCTGTCCTTTTAAGTTAGTGTTTACTTATTTCACCTAAGACTAAGTGGACAAATGAATTATAAATTCATTTTTTAGGAAGCATAATAAACTTTGGAAATCTTTTTTCTTAATTAGAGGGGAGAAATGAGCTAAAGAGAACTCAAGACTCTAGCTAGAAGCCCAAGTGTTTCTCTGCCCTAAGTGCATCAAACAATGCCTTAAAATCTGTCTTCATGTGGGAGGCACCTACTCTGCCCTCTACTTTTTCACTTTTATACAAACTCAGGGGAAACTCAGGGGAAAAAATGATTCTATGAAATTATAATTAGAGCCATATTTCTAGGTTTTAATTTTCAACATTAGCATTTATTAATTTCCTGCAGCTGCCATAACAAGTTAGTAAAACTGGCTTAAAAGAACATAAATTTATTTTCCTACAGTCCAAGTCAGAAATCCCAAATCAAAGCATCAGTGGAGTTGGTTCTTCTTGCAGGCTCCAAGGGAGTTGTTCCATCTTCTCTCCCAGCTTTGGATGGTTGGCAGCAATCCTCAGTATTCCTTAGCTTATAGACATCATTCCAATCTATCCCTCCATCATCTCACGGCATTCTCTGTCTCCCTGTTCACATTTCCTTTTTTTTTTTTTTTTTTAACCAAAAAAACTAGTTATTGGGTTAAGGCCCACTATAATCCAGTATGACCTAATTCTAACTTGATTGTATCTGAAAAGACCCTATTTCCAAATAAGGTTACATGTACAGTACTGGGGGTTTGAATGTGAACATATCTTCCTTGGAAGATGCAATTCAACCCACAAGAGCATTTACTTCTACTGTAAGAAGAAAACAAATCAAGTTTAAATCCCATGTATCTTTTGTTTCCAAACCATGCTGCAGAAACTAAAACTGAATTGCACTATATATTTCTAGGTGTTTGAAGTTTTGAAAGAGCTTCCCCAAATTTTAAGGTAGATCCCTAGTTTCATCATAAATGTAACTAAGAGAATTGGATTAAATGGTTTCAAAGATCTCCACCAGCTCCTGGTTAAAAACTGCAAAGCTATGATGTGTGTGCTTGTAAAAAAAAAAAAAACATACACACACACACACGAAACTGCAAAGCACGGTTGGTGTGCACCTATAATCCCAGCTACTCAGGAAGCTGAGGTGAAAGGGTCACTTGGGCTCAGGAATGAGGCCCCAACTAAAATGCATTGCAAAAGCCCAAAATCTAATTAGTATAAAATCCTCAGACATGTACCTAAATGACACTAATGCTTTATTTTTAAGCTTACTGTCAAGGTTAAGCCTATTCTGTGAAGACACTGAAATGAATTTTCATCATGTTTTGAGTCTATAAACAAGTATGTACTCAGACATGTCTAAATACAATTCCAATGTTTTATCAACTGGCAGAATTGATGTGTTTTATAACAATTCAGTATCCAAAAGCCTGAGGAGACTTGGATCATTTTTCTAACAGTTGAAGTGGAAAAAGTTTATTAACGAGAGCCAGATTGAGACCTTAATAATAAAAAGATTATGGGTCCAAGCCCTAAGTCACTCCAAATGGCATCAACATTAAACCATAAATAAGCATAACAAGGTGCAAAGTTCTAAATTTTCCCATAGCTACTTCAAGTCCTCCCTTTTTAAAACATTATTCTTATGAGGCTCACCCATTACTAATGCAGAGACTCACTCAGTGTGCCTCTTGGGTGGTTCAGCAGTGGGAAGTCCACCTTCAGCCTTACTACTAACAATGAAGCTGTTCTCCAGAGAGCAAGAATAGCCAGCCATATGCCCCCTTCTCTGCCTTTTCAACCCCCTCCATCTGATTCAATGGTGTTGTCCCTGGCTGCAGGCTTCAGTATGCTCCAAGCCAAGTGCAGCTCAGCCGCCGGTCTGAGAACAAAGAAGCCAGGACCAGCAAGCCACAGAGGGACACACTGGTGCAGAATGCCTGGCCAAGAGGCATGAGTTTTACTTACAGCCTCCCATTCTAATTTAATGCAGCTCAATAGGCTGAGAATGGATAATCTCACTGCAGTATTCTGTAATAGGCTTGGATTAAAACCAGGGACAATGGGCAACAATAGGCCTCTACTGTTAAGCAGCAACAACCGGTTACCCCTGGACTGTCGTCTTCTCCCATTCCCCATATCCCGCATTCTCCTAAATATGATGTATTTGTAGCAAGACTCTTTTAAAGTCAGATGATCAGACTAATTATTTTTACAATTTCAGTGTAAGTGATGTACATGAATGGACTTTGTGAACTGGAAAACTTACGTAACAGCAGAGAATAAGTATGTTATATGGAACAACCCGAGTTGAAGGTACAATTTTTTTTCCAGCTCTTTTATTCCTTTAACTTCTTAACAAAAGAAGAGTCTCCAAAGTTTAAAAAACCTTTGAAAAATATACAGCTTGATATTATTTACATAATACATGAATCCAGGTTCCGATATCAAACATTGCTATGTCAGAAACACAGTGGAAGGCAGGAATGTAACTCACTGCCTTTTAGACGCAAAGACTAATAGACACGTTCTCGTATCTCGACTATCTTTGTTACCTGTTATCCTCATACATAAATTATTAGGCACCTGAGAGGTTGGAAGACTACCGAAAATGAACTTCATACCTTCTATTCTGTTTGATTATTATCTTAAAAACTTACTGCATTTTCAATCTCTAACTTTACTTCATCTACAACTAACTTCACTTTCATTATCCCAAATGATCAGGTATTAACTACATGAACTGTTAATGTATACACAGACCTAAAAATCAAACAAAAATGTATTGCCCAGTTGTGTAGGATATATATTTGAACCCCATGACATTTCCTAGTGCTTTGTGAGCAATCCAAATTTCACTTAAGAGAGGTGTCAACTCTGCCCATGCTCTGGACTATGTTTGTAGAAAACATATAAAAAAGACTGACAATAATTAATCTCTTATAAATTAATCAAGAAACCTAAGATTAAAAATTCTAAATTATAGTTTTATTTGTATTTAAAAATACATTGGAAATTCTGCATATTCCCATGATCAACCTTATTTTCAATGCACATTACTTAAATTTTGATGACATGGTTGGTTCTGACAAGTCCTTTTTCAAGCTGAACACCAAAATAGGGAAACTCCTGTAGATTTCCACGGGCCCTGTTCCCATTGATGTATACTGCTTCCTTACTAACGGTGATAGATGGCTTTCATCAGTCTTTTATCACCTGAACAGTCTTCCGACCATAATGATAGTAACTGTAAGCTGATGCAGCTGTGGTGAAAGCTGTAAAACACCTTTTATGGAAGAAAAGAAATAAAATTTAGTTGTCAAGTCTAAAAAACAGTAGCAATGGGAATCATAATGAATACATGCAAAAGATCTATTTAAAAAGCAAAAAGGCTGGGTGCAGTGGCTCACGCCTGTAATCCCAGCACTTTGGGAGGCCAAGGCGAGCGGATCACGAGGTCAGGAGATAGAGACCATCCTGGCTAATACGGTGAAACCCCATCTCTACTAAAAAAATACAAAAAATTAGCTGGGCATGGTGGCGGGCGCCTCTAGTCTCAGCTACACAGGAGGCTGAGGCAGGAGAATGGCGTGAACCGGGAGGCGGAGCCTGCAGTCAGCCAAGATGTGCCACTGCACTCCAGCCTGGGCGACAGAGCAAGACTCCGTCCAAAAAAACAAAAGTAAAAAGGGCTCTGTGGTGTAATTTTTCTTAACTACAAGAGTCTAAATACACTGCTTTTCTTTAACACTTCATTTTAATTAGTAATGTCAAACAAAATTATTCTAGGTAATGAGCCCTACAAATAAATACTACTAGCAACTGTCATTTTTTACTCAGGCATCCTCTAGGTGTCTTACATTCTCATTTTATTCTTACAACAAACTCATCCTCCAGAAGGGGCAAATGGAAGACCCGGAGAACTTGCTCAGGGCTTATCAAAGAACTATGTTTGAGCCTGACTTGGTTTCAGCTCTAAAGCCCACATGCTCCTTCTACTGCTCCATGCTGCTCAGGGTACCAGACTCTATTTCCTGTAGCTTTTGAGAATTCTAAAGTTATCTGAGTAATTTTAAATAAATTTCAGCTTTCTGTACCAAATTACCCTTAACTGGATTCTCCTTGAAATGACATCAACTGATGCCCGTGGCATGCTGAATGCCCACAGCTAGGAGATTACTTTTTAGTGCACCCACGCACTTCTGCTTTTATTAGGTGAGGCAGAATCAAGATTCCCTTTTGTTGGATCTTGAATCTGTTCATGCCACTTTGATATACTAAATTCATAAACCAATGAAATCTATGTGTTAGAAAAATTGCTATTTCTAGCTGGACGCAGAGGCTCATGACTATAATCCTACCACTTTGGGAGGCTGAGGCAGGAGGATTGCTCGAAGCCAAGAGTTTGAGACCAGCTTGGGCAACATAGTGAGACCCTGTTTCTACAGAAAATAATAATATAAAAAATTAGTGGCTGGGCGCAGTGGCTCACACCTGTAATCCTAGCACTTTGAGGCTGAGGCAGGTGGATCGAGGCCAGGAGTGCGAGATCGGCCTAACCAACATGGTGAAATCCTGCCTCTACTATATAAAAATTGGCCAGGTATGGTGGTGGGTGCCTGTAATCGCAGCTACTCAGGAAGTTGAGGCAGGAGAATCACTTGAACCCGTGAGGTAGAGGTTGCAGTGAGCTGAGATTAGGCCATTGCACTCCAGCCTGGGCAACAGAGTGAGAACCCGTCTCAAAAAAAAAAAGAAAAAAAAAATTAATTAAATTAAAAAAAACCAAAATAGCTAGGTGTGGTGGCACATGCCTGTAATCCCAGTTACTCAGGAGGCTGAAGTGGGAGGATCGCTTGAGGCCAGCAATTCAAGGTTACTGTGAGCTATGATCATGCCACTGCACTATAGCCTGGGTGACAGAGCAAGACCCTGTCTCCAAAAAAAAAAATTTTTTTTTAAATTGCTATTTCTGAAAACTACATTGGATGCTTTACAAAAGATTCAATAAAGGTGACTTGATCAAAAAAAAATACTGTCTCTGTTTTCATGGGTACCTAGGGAAAAAAAGTACTGTCAAAATAAATAGGCAAGATGATTGTGAAAAGACTAGGGAAAAAATCTAAACAGTTCTTAGACTGCTTTGTAAATGTTTTAAGTTCTTGCATCACCTTAAAGAAGTAGAAAATGAAAATTAGAGAGGTTGTATTACGGATGTAGTTTATCCAAGAAAGAAAAAACTCCCACTGATGGACCTACATTCAAAGAGTCTTCATCCTATATCAGAAGGTATAAGATGAATTGGGATAAATGTACACTTAAATATTTTAATTAAAAAGTTTAGAGTAGTTGTCATTTTTTAAAAGCTTGCCTGGCTTAACTGACTGTGATTAGTCACCACTTTCTGGTCCAGACTGTACCAAGCAAGATAATTTTAATTCTAGTTAAAATTGTGCCAAAATATAATACTACAATATCAATGTGACATATTTTGAACTCTGAAAGCATGAATTTGACACACTTTTAAGATGATAAATAAGCAATTAGTATAATAAAATTCAATTAGTATAATAAAATTCTTTCTCCAGTTTTCCCTCCTACAACAACCCTTTCAACAGGCTGGACTCAGCTTCCCTACCCTCTCTCCAACACTCTGTCTCTTGGCTTAGGCCCTGTCTTTCACCTAGTGGCCTCCTCTGAGTCCTACACAATCCACCTATACTTCATGCATCAAACACCACCTCCTCCCTGAAACCGTCCCTCTTATTCCTATGAAGTTATCTCTTCCTCCAAAACCCTAACACATTATCAGTACCGTTTATCCCTTTTAATTTGTATGAAAGCTAACTTCTACATCTCATACTTCACAGGAAGTGTCTTAACAATGGTATCAATCACAAAATATAGCCACAGCTTTATCCAGTCAGTGCTCGATAAATGCTGTAAGAACAAGGTCATTCTAGGGCTATCACAATAAGTCATTCTGTTGACATTCTAAGACAGTGATTCTAAATTTAGCTTACCACAGTATCTGAAGATAAATGCTGTCAGCATAGTTGAAAACTGGAGCTGCCAAAGAAGCTGCCACCAAGATTAACTGGACTGCTGTATTTACCTAAATAAAAAAAGAAAGAGTTCTAAGTGAATAGTGCTAACTGGATCCTATTTCAAGCGTTCAAGACAAAAGCACAGCCCATCACACTATAACATGACATACCCTCAGCATGCTTGCGGTTCATCTACACTGTCCCTGCCCAAGAAGCTTGCATTCACAGGTGAGCACACACAAAAGGGTCAACTTCACTAACTGACCCATCTGTCTGCACAGCTGCCCTTAAGAGTGAGAGTAATGACAACTGTCAGAAAATACCACTACCTTGAATTCCCACAGCAACTCAAAAATGTTACAAAATTATTTGCCTTTTTTCCAACTGCCCATTAAAATAGAATATGAAAATAACTAGGCTACCTCCTCATGGGTAAAAGAGTAAGGAGTTAGGTGACTTGCCTGTAGTCACAGCAGACAACAGAAGCAAAGCTGGAACCTAGATTTCCTAGGGCCTTATCTGATGTTCCTTTCTTGCCTACCTGTCAAACCTTGTGAGGTTAGAAAATTAAAATGCACGCATCTCAGGACAGATGCAGTAGTTCATGCCTGCAATCCCAACACTTTTGGAGGCTGAGGCAGAAGGACTACTTGAGCACAGGAGTTCAAGACCAGCTAGTTAAAAACCAGTCAAGCATGGTGGCGTGCACCTGTACTCTCAGCTACTTGGGAGGCTGATGTGGGAGGATATTTTGAGCCTGGGAAGTCAAGGCTGCAGTGAGCTATGATTGCATCACTGCGCTCAAGGCTGGGCGGACAGAGCAAGACCCTATTTCAAAGACAAAGCACTCATCTCCATAAAAGAACCTCTCTAAAGGAGGAAATGAGTAGGCTTCCCTACACTAAAAGACAGCACTGGGGAGAAAAAATAGAACAAGAAACACACTGGACACTCCCTCTATCATCATGAGAAGCATTCCATGGAAGAGTCTGTAAAGTATGAAAACGGGAGTGAAGCAGACAAGCACCTCTGTTCTATCACCCGTTCTCCAGCCAAATGACACTTCATTTTAAAAAATAATAGCCGGGCGCAGTGGCTCACGCCTGTAATCCCAGCACTTTGGGAGGCTGAGGTGGGTGGATCACCTGAGGTTAGGAGTTTGAGACCAGCCTGACCAACATGGTGAAACCCCATCTCTACTAAAGAATACAAAAAAATTAGCTGGGCATGGTGGCGCATGCCTGTAATCGCAGCTACTTGGGAGACTGAGGCAGGAGAATTGCTTGAACCCGGCAGGTGGAGACTGCAGTGAGCCGAGATCGCATCACTGCACTCCAGCCTGGGCAACAAGAGCAAAAAATCCATCTTAAAAATAAAATAAAATAAAATAAAATAAAATAAAATAAAAAATAAATTTTATCTGAAGGACTTCCTATAAGGGTTTAAGGCACTTGTCCCTGTACCTCTTTAAGCCACTTTCCATGTAGTGCTACACTCAAATACAATATAAATACAAGTCACTTGAAGCCAAACAAACAAACAAAAAACAACAAAAAAACCCAAACCCTATGCATGTAGGTAAAAGTCCACCCCAGGGAGTTCTGTATAAAAGCCACTACCCTTCTCTCCCAAAAAGGATGGGCATTCTTAACCTGTTAAATCCTTGACATTAAATATGGGACAAAAGAATGAACAGAGAAAACTTATCAAAACTACTAGAAAAACAAATACGGTTTGAGAGGCATTAACAGTATCCTTTTTGTGTGCAGACTGGCATATACTTACTGTCCTGAATGCTCAGGAAAACAGAATGGACAACTAAGAGTAGCAGTTGTTTATCAGTGAACAAAACTTTTTCCTACTCTCCTACACCTTTCCACTTAACTGTCAATCCTGAAAATGAACGGCCATTTGGTGTTTTCACCACAGGGAGGAGGGGAGTGAAACCACAAGGGACTCTTCATAATCTGTGAAACTCAATCAAGAAGCAATTACAGCCAAGCTTGCTGGCTCACTCCTGTAATCCCAATAATTTGGGAGCCCAAGGCAGGAGGACTGCTTGAAGCCAGGAGTTCCATACCAGCCTGGGCAACAAAGTAAGACCTTGTCTCAAAAAAAAAAAAAAAAGGAACAACTACATTTCAATTCCCTTTACCTGAACAGTGGCCCAATTACCTCATTCAGAGCTTAAATTCTCAGACCACCAACTCAAGGCACAACATGTAAAGGATGATCCAAAAAAAATGGAGGACAAAAGAACTGGGTTAAAGTCGCCTGCCTAACGCCACTCTCTAGCCTTTATACTCTATGCATTTAAATTTGTCTCATTTTCAGCTGTTCTTGACTGAGGTTTATATCCCATATAATAAAAATTTACAAAGGGATAACTTAAAAGAACATTGCATTCTCTTACCTTGCTGATGAATGTTGGTTTTAACCTAGCTGTGGCATAGCAAGGATTGAAATACTTGGCAAGTGTTCGCTAGCAGAGGACCAAAAAAGATAATTAATTTATTGTTTAAAATAGACATTTTAATTTAAAATAGACATTTTATTATAGTCAGGTAACAACATAATTTTATAAATCATACATTCAATATATACTGAAAATTGAGTTTTAAAAAATTTATAGATTTCTCAATTGCTGTAAAATTCAAACACAATACCTATAAAGTTGCTTTATAAAATTTTACTAAACTCAAAATTCCCTTATTCACTATTTTCTTTTTTGAATTAAAAAATAAAATGAACAAAATACCGCTCTATTTTCAGTAGACTGGGAGCCAAAAGAGGTTAATTGCCACACGTCTGTGCTCAAATATTTATAGAGCTCATGAATAAATATGCAAACAAATCGTTCCATGTTCATACAACTGTGATTTTTAAAACCAATTCTAGACTATCCATGGTAGAGATTAGACAATATGTCTCGGACCTATGTGAAACACCTTTAAAGAATTCGCTTCTAGGGATATGGGCTGGCTGGTCTGGGTTTCACGTGCCATCAATTGAAAAGAGGTTGACTTTAAAAAATATCTTTTTGTTTTTTCCTTAAATCATATACAATGCTAAAAGAATACTTTTTGGAAACAAACTCACTGGTGTTGGAAGAGTTCGGTATCTGACATAAAAAACTGCAGCAATCAACATTACATCTCTTGAAATGATCATATAAGTAAGCGGAACTGAAAATCAAACATAAAATAATTTTAACTGGGATTCTGAAAATTACTAACATATATTATGAATATAATAACATGTCATTCAGCCTTACCACAAACTGCTGTTTTCACAAATAGTTTTATAATGAACACCTATTGATGCTTTAGGGTTCCCTATAGCAAACTACTGATTTTTATATTCTTCTTTAACCCGCCCTCAAAACAAAGTGAAGTACAGACTATAACTTTGAAGTCTGTATCTGCGTTTCAGTATGCCGATCTTCTCATCTGATTTTTTCTTGCATGTTTTTAAGCTATTGGTCTGAAGTTGTCAGCATCAGCTGTACTCAGCACTCTCTCCTCCTTTGCTACTTCTTAGCTCTGTACATTTGAAAAAAAGATCACCATACTCAGAATTACACGGAAAGAGATGATAAAGGGGTGGCGAAGGATGTGGGAGGCCTCAAACTCTTCTGGAATCTCAGGAGCTTTGCTTGTTCTGCATTTTAGACTATTCTCTGAAGAGTAAAATTTGCTGTTATGTGCAACTAGTAGAGAAACAGAATTTTTTTTGTATTTGTTTTGTTTTTTTTTGACCGGGCCTTGCTTTGTTGCCTAGGCTGGAGTGCAGTGGCACGGTAACGACTCACTGCAGCCTTGACCTCCTGGGCTCAAGGCAATCCTCTCACCTCACCCTCCCAAGTAGCTGGGAACACAGGTACATGCCACCATGCCTAATTTTTTTTTTTTTTTTTTGGTAGAGAAGGGATTTCACCATGTTATCCCAGCTGGTCTAAAACTCCTGAGTTCAAGCGATCTGCCCGCCTCAGCCTCCCAAAATGCAAGGATTACATGCATGAGCCACCGTGCCCAGCCTGAAATATTTTATACTTATCCAGCCAGTTCCTTCCTAGGGATTGCTGTTTTTCTCCTTGTCCATTCAATGAATTCAACTTGTCAATAGTTCCGTCATCATTCCTCAGATTTTACACTATGGTCCCAGAGCCATAGCCAACAGAAGGATATCTTCAAATAAATACCTAAGGAACCCCTATTTCCTTATTGAATGGGAATGAGATGGCAAAGAACTTGCTTCACTTTATATCCTTCTGCACCACAGAAAGTTTTTAACTGTGAATATATCTTTTATAAGAAAAAAATTATTTTTAAAAAGGGTGGGAAAAAAACCCTGAGTTCACTTGGTTCAAACACTATTCAAACTATTTCAAATAAATAAAGATAAAAATAAAAAGGATCATGAATATCCCTTCCGTAATACTTTCAGACAAATCTTTTATGAATTATTGGAGGCTGTACTTATGGTCCTCTCCAGTTTTGACATTCAACTGGCTCTGCAATTTGAAGAAAATCTCTAATTAATTACAGATTTAAAATTTAAATCTCTGCTGGTTATAGCTATGATGTAAGTGTTGATCCTTGGCCGAGTCCTTGATGGATAACACTATTCCAAAGAAAAAGTGCTTATCCACTCAAGTCATAGCATTTGGAGCAAACAAGATATGGCTATATGAGCCAAGCATAAAAACAGTAAGTCATAATTTTTAGGAACATTTTTGTACCTGTAAAACAAACTTTTCTGTAGCAATCATTAGCTGGCAAAATCTAACAACAATCACACTTTCAAAATGCAGCAAACCTGTGCAGTGGCTCACGCCTGTAATCCCAGCACTTTGGGAGGCCGAGGCAGGCAGATCACCTGAGGTCAGGAGTTCGAGACCAATCTGACCAACAAGGAGAAGCCCCATCTCTACTAAAAATACAAAATTAGCCAGGCGTGGTGGCGCATGCCTGTAATCCCAGCTACTCAGGAGTCTGAGGCAGAAGAATCACTTGAACCCAGGAGGCGGAGGTTGCAGCGAGCCAAGATCGCGCCATTGCACTCCAGCCTGGGCAACAAGAGCGAAACTCTGTCTCAAAAAAAAAAAAAAAAAAAAAGGCAGCAAATCCATGCAAATTAAAATCTATGTATGCATGGAAGAACATGCAAGCTTGCATTCAACCAGGAATGCAGGCCTATGGAATTCAGACTATGCTTGGTGCAGCGCATTAGGTTCCAACCCAACAGTGTGACCTAACAATTAGCATCTCTGGACTCAGTTTACCATCTGTAACCATCTGGTAGGGGAAAGACCTATTAAAAAAAAAAAAAAAACAAAAAAAAACAAGGGTTCCCCAAACTGACTGCCCATCCAAAAGTCACTTTGAGAGAGTTCAGTAAAAGCCCAGACGAAAGCTCTCTTCCGGGTGAAAGCTCTCCTCTGGGTGACTCCTATGCACAGCAAGGCTGGAACGTTTCTACACCAGATGGTCTCGAAGGCCTCAGCCTACTGAAAGATACAGGCTCCTACTGTGGTTAAAAAATTTTATCCTATTTCCTGGCTTTCCCTCTTGGCCTCCTCTTCTCTTCTACAGTTAAAACAGCTTTCATTTTGCCTACTAGAGTAAGAAAGTGATGGGTAGGACAGTGTAAAATGTGTCAAGGATTTCTCCAGGTTTTTTCTCCCTACTTGCTAACTCTGAAACATGGGTAATATTTGCAACGATATTTCCAGTGTCTGTAAGTAAAATGTTATTAGAACACATTCTATACTCACTAATTTAAATATTTTCTGTGGCTGCTTTCACACTACAACAGCAGAGCTGAGTAGCTGTGACAGAGATCACATAGCCCACAAAGCCAGACATCATGGTCAAGTTTTATTAGCAATAAAGGGAAATATTTCATAAAATCGTTTACATCTTAAAAATGGTTAACATCTACACCATAGGTTTTTACATTGAAAACAATAAATTTAACAGAATATTCTAGAAATTGACTTAAGCCAGAAATAATAATTTAACATACGGTAAATCAGAAACAATATAATAATACAAAAATACGGCAGAACAAATACACGCAGACCTAAGTTCAGTGGACATAAATGTAAGTAGAAATTAGCTTGGATTTGCCTTCCACTCTCTAATCAACATATAAGCCAAAGAATTTGTTTTCATCCTTCTCCCCCTCCCAAAAAAGACCAAAAACAATAGCAGAATGATTTATTATTCTAGCAAAAAAGGAAAGCAAAAAGTTTCTTGACCTCCAATCCTGCAGAAGATATTTCTTACTCTTAGAGAAACAAAGGTATTAAAATGAAGGTAGATGTGACTTTTAAAAAATGCAGCATAAAAGTAGGAACATGCAAGACTGCATACATGCATCATTCTACTTTCCAAAACTCTCCTAAAATGACAGTAAAGAAATGAAAGGATATAAAAACACAAAGAGAATGAGTAGAGGAGACAGATTTCAAGGTTTTAACCAAGCTTATTAGTAATAAGGTGGGAAGAGCTGAAACCTAAGTTCTTCAGAAAGGAATTCCCATGAGAAGCAACTCCACAAGAGAAACTCAAGAAGTCCATATAAAGAGCAGTCAGATCCCTGCCCCAAGCCTTCCCTAACACCTTACTGCTAGGGCTGTGGCTAAGAGTGATTTTTACATTGTTTAATGGTTGGGGGAAAAAAGTCAGAAGACCAGTATTTCAAGACACATGAAAATGCTATGAAATTCAATTTCTAGGCTGGGTGGGGTGGCTCACGCCTATAATCCTAGCACTTTGGGAGGCTGAGACAGGCGGATCACTTGAGGCCAAGAGTTTAAGACCAGCCTGGCCAACATGGCAAAACCCCATCTCTACTAAAAACACAAAAATTAGCTGGGCCTTGTGGTGCATGCCTGTAATCCCAGCTACTCAGGAGGTTGAAGCACAAGAATCACTTCTTGAAAGTGACTGGGAGGCAGAGGTTGTAGTGAGCCAAGATTATGCCACTGCATTCCAGCCTAAGTGACAGAGCGAGACCCTGTCTAAAAAACAAACAAACGAAAAACAAAAACAAACAAAAAAACAGGCATGGTGACCCATGCCTGTAATCCCAGCATTTTGGGAGGCCGAGGCAGGTGAATCACCTGAGGTCAGGAGTTTGAGACCAGCCTGGTCAACATAGTAAAACGCTGCTTCTACTAAAAATACAAACAATTAGCTGGGCATGGTGGTGGGTGGCTGTAATCCCAGGGTACTCGCGAAAATGAAGCAGGAGAATCACTTGAACCTGGGAGGCGGGGGTTGCAGTAAGCCAAGATAGTGCCACTGCAAGCCAGCCTAGGCGACAGAGCGAGACTCCGTCTCAAAAATAAATAAATAAAATAAAATAAAATCAATTTCCAGTGTCCATAAGTAAAATTTTATTGGAATTCATTCACATTCACTCATCTATATATTTTCTATGGCTGCTTTCACGCTACAATAGCAAAGCTGAGTGATTGTGACAGAGATCACATTACCCACAAAGCAGGAAATATTTATTATCTGTTCCTTTGCAGGAAAAGTTACTAACCCCCACTCCACGTTACCCTGTGAACCAAGGGGCACTGGAGTGCAGTAGGGATCAAGCGAAGGTCTACATACTGAACAATGAGACCCCAGCCTCCTCCCACAGCTTAGCTCCCAAAACCCTGGTGGGAAGGCCTTTATAATTCCCAAGCAGCAGATGGAGAGCTAGGATCTACAGAATAGGCTTAAAGATACTGAGAATTCAGGCCCTGCACCCCAGTGCCTAGTGAGCTCCCAATGAACTTTTCATGCCTCATTCAAATATAAGTTAGCAGCCAAGGATCACCACACATTTCAATAAAGTCTCCACCATAAAAGAGAAGCCAAAACAAACAAAAACTAGAATCTGAAGGAAAGAGACCCAATACAGAGGTTTTTTAAAAAATAAATAAATAAATAAATACAAGTATACCTCAGAGATATTGAAGGCTCTGTTCCAGACCACTGCAACAAAGCTAATACTGCAGTAAAGTGAGTCGCACGAATTTTTCAGTTTCCCAGTGCACATGAAAGTTATGTCTACACTACAATCCATTTTGTGTACGGTAGTAGCACTAAATATATATATATATACACACACACCCACACACACACACACACACACACACAAACACACACACCTTAATTTAAAA